GGGAAGGGGGAAAGAGGGGGGAGGGGAGGGCAAAACGACAGAGAACGATAAAAGGAAAGAAAGAGAGTGAAACGTAAAAACAAAACGAACAAACACAAATTTTTAATTGGAGTGGAAGAAAATATGAGCACAATGTCCCACCAGCCATCATGTCTTTCACCCACCGCTGTCAAGTTTTTCGCCTTGTCAAACGCCCGCTTGAACTCTGACTCCGCCATAACCACGAGAGCTTCCGGTTCCCTCACGGCGTTAGCAACAAACATGGCGGTGATGTTTGCGGCTGTTTCCATGCCAACGCTCTTGTCCACCTCCGCCTCTATGTCGAGGAGATGGAGGGCGTAGGGGAGCTGGCTGACGGTGTACACCTCGTGATTGCTTCCCTCTAGGATGACCAGCGGACTCTGGACCACAATGTCGGGGTCAAAGTTGGCAGCGCGAATCATCTCTCTGGCACAAAAAAAAAAAAAGAAGATAAATAAATCTAATGACAGTTATTTGTTTTTAGTTTTAGTAAGAGTTTTACGGCACTTGCAACACACTAAGTTCACATAAGTGCTGAAGAATAGAGCGACAAGTGATGCTTGGTTGATTTTTAAAAACCCCACCAAAAACAACAACAGACAACAAAACACTTTTCACTAAATTTGAGTACTATTGGAGGATGATGAGAAAGAAAATATGGGAGGCGTGCTGACAAAATGAGTTTCGCAATCCACAATTGAAGATGTTATTGATCAAAAATCAACACTAGGGTGTGAAATTTGTAGATTCTCTGTTGATACCGTATTCTTTAACAATAATGTGCCTTTTATTATTTCATACTTATAAATTGTAAAAAAAACCCATTTACGACTGATGTATAAATTTCCATAAGGCTGGAATCCAAGAAGTATCTCATTTTGTCAGCACGCTTCAATATTCACTTTTCCCCCAAAAAGTCCCCCAAAAAGTGTCTGATTTGACTGGAAGGTTAACGGTGAGAGACAGAAACCGCTGACAAAAAAGTTCTAAAGTTGATCCACTTGACTTCAGCATTGGAATCTACAGAGCAAGAGATCAAGAGGAAGGCCATGAGGAAGGTGGAGAAAAGTCACAGAGAAAGACCTACAGAAAAGTGGGAGGAATTGAAATAATATCCAGAGGCGAACCCTGGACAGGGAAAAATAGAATATTGGTGGCGTATACCCGAATATTGGTGGCGTATACCCGAATATTGGTGGCGTATACCCGAATATTGGTAGCATATGCCTTGACAATACCCTGATCCACAATATTTGTCAAATGCAGCCTAGGTGTCTTTTACACCTCTGTTGACAATAGCTAAAACGTAGGGGAAAGATTTTTTAAATTCTTATTTTTAACGCCTCTATAGACACAATTTAGATAATTGAGGACTCCACGAATAAATCTTCAAGCGAGAGCCAGGCTCTTTTTTGGCTCCATTGCCATTATAAGAAGGCACCTCCACTCATCCAAATAACTGCATTCGAATAGATGATGATGATGATGGTGGTGATGATGGTGGTGATGATAGTGATGATATGATGATGATAACGCTGTTACTGCTGCTGCTGATGCCAATGATATCGATGATAATGACAACAACAACAACAACAACAACAACAACCACAACAACAACAACCACAACAACAACTCACTGTATGGTCTGTGCGATGCGTGTGATCCGTGTGACCCCGTCCACCTCCCCCACCAGTGTGAGCACAGGTAGAGGGAAGGACACGGCACTCTCTCGTCGCGGCAGGAAGGAGCCCAGGAGGATGAGACCTCTCAGAGACTCCGGCACAGCGCGGGCGTAGTCTGCCACTTTGTGGCCTGGGGGGAATGGAACAGACACAGGGATTG